GATATTATGATGCAAAATGCAGAAGTGGGCAACTTCGTAGGTGCCAAAGACATACCTGGGTATGTTGGTTGGTTCCATATGTGCCCTAATGGGCGTGCTGACTATTGCGTTACCGGTTCCTGTCATAGTTTCAAATTTCGCCATGTTCTATTCTCACGCGCAGGCGAGGTATGCGTTTTGCTTCCTGACACACTATCACACTTATCTAACTTTGGCCGTTTATAGATCCAAATTACCAAAGAAGAGAAGGCGGGTACTGCAACCTCATGAAATCAAGCCGATAGTTGGGCGATCAACAACGGCGGTGCTTTTGAATTCTTTAGGCCCGAAACCACATGTTCCATCTAACATGGGCGACGGAATAGGTAAAGAACTTAGCTGTATGTACCTTAGCTTTAGGAGATAACAGTCTGAAGGAAATGATAGTGATTGGTATCTTCACAGTTTAGAAACTTATTTTTTCAACATATCTTCCTCAGACTTATCTCCCCAAAAAAGATATCTGATGCATTTGACAGCGTCAGCATTTAATTCAGGAGCTTTTGCGGCTACACCTCTTCTTGTTTGTCCGAATCCAGGTGAGAATATACGTAAAAACTCGTCGAACACCAAAACAAATAAAATGTTATAGCATTTATTGGTTGACGTTTTGCATTACGCTATTGTTATATATTTGCTAATATATGCTTTACATCTTTGTATTACCATGCCCGGTTTGTAGAGATACGGTGTGATTCTTTGCATACATCGATATTAACTTATGTTCACTATTAGTTGATTATGCATTGAGTTCTTTTTTAATATTCAGGTCATATCCATTATGCCAGTAACCGTTTTCAATTTTTCGCTACTGTAGCCATCTGTTCATAAAATGAGATATAATTGTTATATGTATAAATTGTACTGATTGCACCTATAGCTAAAATACGTTGCAAATTTACTATTTATCACAAAACCGATTCTAAAAAATGGTTTAAGCGTCACTTTGAAATGTTATTACAAAACCACTGCCAC